TATTAAAATTATGGTCTATTCATATGTGAAACCATCTGTGGAAAAAACGATTTCATAAATCTGTCCGTTTTACAACTATAGTTATTATAATCGCTTCCATAACGTGTATTCTAGTTATATTCAAGTTTAGGCGGTAAGAGGTCACCCAATTTGTCTCCATGTGCATTTTTAACAAAAAAACGTTCGCATAATAATCGCCGCCGATCTTTCAGTAAGGGTATACCAGTAATACTGCAAGCTTCTCTATAAGTAGCGAACGGCAAGACAATACGCAGAGCCCGCTTCTGGAGTTTTTCGATATCTTCACTTAGGTATTCTGTAATATTGAAGTGCCAAACTTGGCAAGCATATTCGAGTACTGGTCTGATAATGGTGCAGTATACCAAAATTAGAATGCTATATTCGGCATTTGATCGTTTTAACAATCTTAGCATATAAAGGCGTTTTCCCGCTTTTTTAACAATATGGTTCACATGCTCGTTCCATTTCAAATCATCTTGAATTGAAAGACCACGAATTCGGGCAGATTTTACCCGCTCAATACCAACGTTATTTATAGTTAACGGTAAGAACTCATGTTTTTCTCTTGCAAAGTCAATTACCATTTCCTTACATTTACCGATGTTGAGCTTCATATTATTAACTTCACACCAATTATACAGGGTGTATCAAAATAAACGCAATTCATCTTTTGTGCTTAATAACTTTCGAAATACTATTTCTAGTTAAACGCTTTTAGGCTTACTTCAAAGCCTGTTCTTTTCTCTTTCAAACAAACTATTATCCTTGTCTCCAATGCTAGTAATAATTGCACAGGAAAAGATTTAGTAAAACCTATCATTTTTAGTTGCTGTTTAATTATGCAAGTTTACTATGTTATTGTTTAGTCGGTTTAAATGTTAGAATTTTCTTCTTTAAACTTTAATGTTGTCGTCACTACATCTGGAAAACCACGTAAGAACAAATTAAAAGTATTTTAAAAGAGGCCAGGTTGTTTGAAAATCCTAAACGAATGCTAAAAATCGTCAAAACATTCTGGTGTCTGAGCCAGAGTGTCATCGAATTGCGATGTAATGTAAACAGAAATTATAGCAAGTTGATGTCAGTCAGCTTAGATGGTCCAAGCCAAAATTATATCGCATTTGAAGTTACAAACTGAGTTAAAAATAGTGGAAGAAAAGCCGTAATTATACTTATTGTTACAATCCATTTAATAAAATGCAACATTTGTTTGTTTTAATGAAAAAATCAGTTATTTTCATGAGAACGATTTGTTATTCCATCTCAATTTTTTTAATCTCCAATCGCAATAACGTAAAGTATTATTACCCGCGAACCAATGAGTCAAATTTAAGAAACAACCCACTGTTAGAAAGCTGAATGGCTACGCTTTAAAATGAATGTAAACTTTAACGTTTTCGTCTATTATTTGTTTAGCAATTTACATTTCAGTCGAGGATTGCGCTTTTTTTGATACACCCTGTAGATAACATTCACTAGATCTTGTAGTTCACTACTCTCAGTTGATGTAACTCGTTCAGCAAACGTACTGTCATCAACATACTTCCATCTATCGTTCCAATCAATAAGAAGATCATTTATCATAACAAGGAACAAAGCCGGCCCTAACACCGACCCTTGCGGCACTCCACCGTTTAACGTTTGCCAGTCCGAATGACAGTTAGCCAACTTGACTCGTTGTTTACGATCAGAGAGAAAACTTCTAATCCAATTTATAATGGTTTGGGAAACACTCATTTGTTGTAGCCTATTCACCAGTATGTTGTGATCTATTCGATCAAAAGCTTTTTCAAAATCAAGCAAGAATACTCTCACCGCATTGCTTGAAGCATCTGTAGCACTCAGAAGGTGATGGGTCAGGCTCAGTAGGGCATGAGTAGCCGAGGAATTTTTAACGGAGCCAAACTGCCGCGTATCAATCTTTGCACCAATTGACTTAAGTAACCAGTCTGTAACAAACCGTTCGCAAATTTTGGATATAAAGTGGTGGTAAGTGAGATAGGGCGCAAATCTTTAGAAATGTCTTTAGGGACTGATTTTTTTGGAACAGGGATAGCGTTCGCTTTTTTCCACATTGAGGGTACAACTGCTTCTTGAATCGAAGCGTTGAAAATCGATGCCACAGGGGAAGAAAGAACATATGCATAAGATTTAAGCACCCAATTAGGTATTCCGTCAGGACCAGGTGATTTGGAAACGGGGATGGCGGACAAATTACAGTATACATCTTTTTCTTCGATAATAAACTGTGGAAGGATACTTGTACTGCCATTTTCAATTAGGTCATCAACTGGAGACTTATTCAAGGGAGGAATATCTTGGGTAGATGAGACAAAAACATTGATTTTATCTGCTAACTCTTTACCAGCAAAAACCTGGTTGTTTAGAACGAAATTAGAGAATGTTTTGTTCTTGGCGAAACCCGCAAGCTGTTTTATACATTGCCACCATTTTTTAGCATTGGGGTTTAGTTTTAACTCATCCATCTTTTTCTTAAGGAAGGTTGACTTGAGTCTCTTACTTTCTCTATTGGCAAGATTTCTCAATCTACGATATAGCAAACTTGTCTAGTTTCTATAATTTTCTTAAATTCGACTGTAACCCAAGGTTTATCATGATCGTGCAACTTTACAATTTTACTAGGGAAAAAAACAGTCCAAACCAGTATTTATAACTGTTTGAAAAAAAATCTTTTGTTCACATGATTCAGCGCGGTACAAGTTGTTCCAGTTTATATCAGCTAGCCACTTACCGAATGCTCTCCTGTCATAATTGCTACCTTGTCTAGTTTTCACTTTCGAGGTACCATATTTAGCTGTATTTTTATTAAAGGACCACAGTACGGAGTTATGGTCACTTTGGCCAACAGGGGGTAATAACACCGGAGAGTTACAACAGGAAGACATATTTGTCAAAATTAAGTCCAATGTGGAATTTCCTCTTGTGGGTTCTTTAACTATCTGTTTCAAAGTAAAATGACGTAGTAAGGATGAAATTGCACATTTATTAAAGTCTCCAATGAGAAAAATACCAGCGTTGGGGTACAATACAAGAGCAGCGTCAAGTTTAGATGTTAGGTGATCGATTAAGGCACAGTTATCATTGGAGGGAGGGTGGTAGACCACACAGATAATCAGGCAGGAAAAGCCACGGAAAAGTTTATTTGGTCTCAGGTAAAGCCAAAGTGATTCAAAACTGTCTTCATGCAGATCTGTTAAGATTTTAAAAGGAATCTGGTCTTTAATATAAGCACAAACGCCACCCCCGATTCTAGAAATTCTATCACGCCGAACTAAGGAAAAGCCACTAATTTCAACGGCACCGTCATCAATATTTTCATTTAGCCATGTCTCAGTTATAAAGGCCAACCCAACCTCATTCATATGCAAAATAGTTTTCAGTTCATCAATCTTAGGTAAAAGTGATCGAGAGTTCACTAGAAAGAAAGTTAATAACTTTCGCGGAAGGCGAAGGGAAACGAAGGTTGGCCAGGGATTTCCATTAAGGTTTTCGGGCAATGTTGAAAAAACCGAGCAAACTGGGAGTAACTTTGAGGACTTCGGTTGACACTCATTCCGTGTGTTCTTAAATGTGGGACCATAGGAGGACGATGGTAAGGATGGTAAGAGAAAAAAGGTGGGTTGGGATGGTTATTAACAGGCCGTGATGCCGTTCTGTTATGATTGGTACTGTGGGAAAAATCACACCCGCTATACCCTTTAAGCAATAGCCTCGATTTTTGCAAAAAGGGACAGGGCACCAAATGTTTTTGTTCACCACGTGGATGTTTAAAATCGCAACGCCTTCCCTTTGCACACCACCCTCGACGCTTAAGAAATGGGCAGGGTATAGTGCCTTTTCCAGTATTATTATCTTCTTTTTCAGGTTGTGATTTTAGGGGCTTCGAGGTTCTATTCACTAATGTACCAGTATCTTTTTTCTGTTTACTCGGTACTAGTATTTGCTTTGAATGCGACTCATTAATATTCCCTAGGTCAATGTCATTGGTATTCGGGTCATTGGGTTGTTGACTCAGGTTACTAAGGTCGATATTACTAGTATTCACCTCAGTGGCTTGTTGTCTAACATGTAATGGGATTTGATTTTGTTCCTGAGGTGTGCGTGTTCCAACAACGTTAAAGCTCGAATTCCTAAGGTCAATATCAATAGTATTCGAGACTATAGATTTTTGAAGATCAATATTATTTACAGTTAGATTAGCACTTAGTTCGTTATCACGAGATAGACTGTTGTTAGTATTGCGAGAACAGCTCAAACTATTTTTATTCAAGCTACTAAGTTGGTCACTGTCACGCGTTGGCGATTCCTCTATAATGCTAATTGGGTTACCTGATCCACTACCTTTGTTCTGATAGTCTTGGGACATATTAAGCACTAGCTTCTCGAGGAATAATAACTTTTATTTAAAAAATACATTCTCCTCGATAAGTCGGCGATTAACTTCATCTTGATTCCGCACAACGCCTTCCAATTCTTTTAATTTTACCCTAAGCAGGTTAATGTCCGACTCATATTCGTTTTCCGACAATGCAGTAAGCAGCCGCGATTCCAGAATTTTAAGGTCTAATTTAATACCCTCCATATCAGCATTAATATAAGCACAGCTACAGCTACAATCAGATGCATCCATGCGTCCCGTATTTATTGCCGCATGTTCGGCTTCTTTATAGTTATTATACTTGTTACTTCAACTGCAGGACGTGCTAGGCCGGCAATATTTCGAAGCTCGGATTTAATATCGTCGCTCAACTTCCCATTTACTGTAAGCGACTTACTGTCTGCATACCATCTTATAGCTAAATCGTTTAGTTCGAGCAATTTACAATAACCACCAGATGCCGACCATTTTGATTATCATTTTTGATTATTTATTATTGCTATTGGAGATAACCACCAGATGCCGACCATTTTGACTATCGGTAAAGAAGAAATCTATTGCACCTATTGCTATTGGAAATATGGTGATAGTACAAGGCGAAGGAATTAAGATTCCAAGATTAATTTGGAAACTTGTTAGAGTCGAAAGTCTGCGCAAGAGCAACGATGGAAGGGTTCGAGGAGCTGTTGTCAAGACTGCAAAGGAAGACGGGTTACGATGTTACGACAGACCTATTAAAAAGTTGTATCCCTTGGAGATGAATTACGAGTCTAACGAAACCGAATCTAGAACCGATCAAGAGCCTGAGATTGCGCCTGTTCGAAGATGCATCCATGCGTCCCGTATTTATTGCCGCATGTTCGGCTTCTTTATAGTTATTACTTGTTACTTCAACTGCAGGACGTGCTAGGCCGGCAATATTTCGAAGCTCGGATTTAATATCGTCGCTCAACTTCCCATTTACTGTAAGCGACTTACTGTCTGCATACCATCTTATAGCTAAATCGTAATTTAGTTCGAGCAATTTACAATAACCACCAGATGCCGACCATTTTGATTATCATTTTTGATTATTTATTATTGCTATTGCAGATAACCACCAGATGCCGACCATTTTGACTATCGGTAAAGAAGAAATCTATTGCACCTATTGCTATTGGAAATATGGTGATAGTACAAGGCGAAGGAATTAAGATTCCAAGATCAATTTGGAAACTTGGTAGAGTCGAAAGTCTGCCCAAGAGCAACGATGGAAGGGTTCGAGGAGCTGTTGTCAAGACTGCAAAGGAAGACGGGTTACGATGTTACGACAGACCTATTAAAAAGTTGTATCCCTTGGAGATGAATTACGAGTCTAACGAAACCGAATCTACAACCGATCAAGAGCCTGCGATTGTGCCTGTTCGAAGATCAACGAGAACTGCAGCAGTTGTGGGAAATCACCGCAGACAATTAATTGACCAGTGGATAAATGAAATGGACTAAAGATACTATAAATACTTTCCTAACACTGGTCAAGGGGGGAGTGTAATGAATTGTTAATAATTGACATTTATGATAGACGGGTGTAAAGTGGGTGGAGTTTTCTATGTAACAAAATGTATTCATATATTTTTCAAGTAAACAAGTTGTGTCCTTCAAACCAGCGCGTATTTGTGATTTAAGAGAGAGATTTATAGACATTACAATACAACTATTTTTACTATCTTAAAACTACTTGGTACCTCACCCAAAGAGAAAGAGATATTAAATAATAACTCAAGAGGTTTCGATATGACATATTTGATGATTTTCAAAATTTTAACTGGAATACTATACGACCCAGTTGCTTTTCCATGGTTTAATTTTGAAATTTCAGCTTCGATTTCCTGCGATGTAGCTGGAAATACATAAAAATAGGTACGTAGTGCGTACATGTTGCATGCCATGAAAACTTAGCCTGAAAACAGACCTACGTTCCACCCGCCCTAAAATTCGCGGGTTGACGGATCCGTCGACCGGCGAATTTTAGGGCGGGCGAAACGTAGGTCTGTTTTCAGGCTAATCAAAACCATGAAACCTTATGACACAGAATACTATACAGAAGTCCATTTCCATTGTTTTTGCGTAAGCGCTATTCGTCATGATTGATGATTCCGTCACTCAGCAAGAACCGTAAACAGAAGCAGTCGCCCCCTGGTTATCATGCGCTAGCGCTTATAACTTCTGGTACAACTGGCCTGGAACTTAAAATATTGATTCAATAAGTTTAATATCAATATATTTATTGGAAAATAGCTATTATGTCAAAATAAGAAATTTTAGATTCTCACGCGAATATAGGCAATGTTTTTATGCGCGACTGTTCATCGTTAGTTGCAAACGACGGTAATATAAACAAGGTCAAGGTTTTATCGAAAGCGATTGACTGTTAGATTTCCTTTACTATTTTATAACTAAGGCCTGGTTTATACAGCGTGCTATGAGCGAACCGAACCAATTTTTAAATTAGCACGGCCAGGCTGCACGCTATTAGCACGCATTCTGATTTATACGTAACGTATTTGAGCAAGCCATAAGAAGCATATAAGAAGCATATAACATTAGAGCCTATAAGAAGCATATAACATTAATACAATATGGCGTCTTATATTGTTGCAATATGGTTCGTTGATGGCACTGTGGTTTAAATCAGAGGCGTGCTTAACCAGGGCGCTTATATATAGGGCGGTGCAACGCGCTTATTGAGCGCTGATCGATGTGTGATGCGGAAGTGGACTGGCACGAGCATGCTTTTCACGAGGATTCGAGTAGGAGCGTGGTTTTCACCACCGTTATATTTTTGCTGTTTTTCCTCTAAATATGACATTTTGGAGGAACTTTTTAATGGATATTTGTGAAGTACTGTTTTATTAAACGTATGATGTCTTTCTTTGCTAAAATATTTTTTATAAACATCAAATTTATGGATATTAAATCGATCGCGTGATGGCTTCCATGGAGGGATAATTTCGCCGTGAAAGTATTGCATGTTAACTGCCTGTCCGCGGCGAGAAATTTCAGGTATGTTGAATAAGATAATGCCACTGTAATATCTTAAACTTTTCATAAAAATCGAAGTTGATGGATTACAGATAAAATTGCTGGAACTTGTACATTCATGATGGGTTATTCTTAGCTTGTTTAGTCGCTAAATGGCAGCAAGAAAATCTAACAAATGTTTTGTTTTCGTTGTGCTCTAATTCGCTATAGTCGTATAAATGAGTTAATAGCGTTTTCCAAAGAAATTTTCATAATACGTATATCCCTTAAACATTTTTTCCTTTCTGGCTAAGTTTATAAAATAGACATTGCAGGAAAATATGCCCAGCGCATTCGGTGATGAAGACTTGCCCGCATCTTGTAAATTTGTTTGTCAGAAAGGCAAGGTGATTCTCTGTTTATATTCATTTAAAAAAATCATATTCGAGTTGATGGTTTCTTTGAATTTATTTCAAAAGACACCCTTCCTACAAATTCCATGCAAGATCTGTATTCGATCGAACATAACTAGGTTATAGCGTAAACATACAATAACGTGAGCAAAGATGGCCTCTCAGATTTCGCGTCATTTTTCTGTCGTAAGCAAGTTCATCCATTGCGACTTTTATTTACGAGTGAGTAAAAAATATTTTTAAAACGAAAAATGTCGGAATATTTTGGTAAAAGACAAGCAGGAGAGACATCTACGTCTTCTTGTAAGCGTAGTAGAGTATCTAGTGAAAGCCTAACAACAACAGGGGAAGTGACACCTAAGGGAAATGATAGAGAGCAACCTGTTGCTGATTTTGCAAATTGTTTTGTAAACACCGAGACAACACGAATTGAGTACTGTGGTAAAATTACTTTACAACCTGAAGAACTTCTTCTGTACTGCTTAGTAAAGATTTCGTCACCAGGTAGCAACATTAATTTGGCAAAGGGATACACTCCAGAAAAATATTTAGGTATTACACAAGCAGTTTACAATGTATATGGTATCCATTTTGACTGTGTCAACATGCAAAACTATTTCTATCGATCCATTAACAATCTGAAAAAGGGTCTTGGAAAATACAATGGATATTTGAGATGGAAATTTTATTCCAGTTACATCGAAAGAATTATTTCAACACACCAAACACTCCTTTTGAACCTGCTCCTAAATTCAGGATTTAGCAACATGCCTGGTAATTTCGATGACTTGCGCAGAGATATAGAAAGTGAATGCCTGTCCAGTTTGGAGGAGGGTAAGCTGTCGCAAAGTCTTGCATACAAGATCAGTAAGGTCAGTGATAACTGTGCAAATAGGTTTCCAAAGTGGAAAGTTATCCCAGATGTTAAAGAATCAAAAATAAATCTCTATTATATGGGTAACAGTCCATTAAATGTACAGTATCAAGTAATTGTGTTATCAGATGGAAGTTATTCCTTTGTTTTCATGGGACAGCCCAAAATATTGAATTTTGATAACAGTATTATTCCACCAGCAGTTCATGACAAGAATCAGTTGTACTTACTCATGAAATCTCTTGAGAAATTGCAAGTATGTTCTGGTGTTTCGGTTGAAAACTACCAAGATCTGTTACCTGATAACGACAATACCCCAGTGTATAAGACAACTAGTGGAGACCCTGCTGCATTTGTAGAATCTGTGCCAGCACATGATTGCAAAAAATGTGTAAGATCCACAAAGTGTGACATATTAATTCAAGGTGTTGCATGTTGCAAAGCTTGTTTACAGACAAATCACTACATGAGGACACTTAAGTCAAGAAGCAACAACGTAAGTCAGAGTTCTAAGCATACTCGATATGATTATATGTCAAAAGATAAGTTACTCGAGCATAGCAGAGAAATGGCAGACAAAATTCATGTGATGCAGATCAAAATTAAAAGGCTTGAAGAATACCAAAGAGAAATGAGCACAGTAGGAAGTAATACAGACTCAGATTTTAGAAAGTTATTTCAACAACTTTATAAGGGACTGAATAAAGTTGTTGAGAAACATGATAACAACACTTGTTATTGGGAGGATTGTAATTTGGAAACTGAGTTTAAATCGCCAGAGTTGCTACTTGGACATATAAAAAGTGTACATATCAAAACAGTCGATGATGTTGCACCAATTAACAGGCAATATACTTGTGAGTGGCTAGGCTGCAACAAACATTTTGGGAAAAAAAAACTTCTCCATACCCATGTTGCTGAACACACAGGAAATGAGTCAGATACCTTTTTCATAACACTTTTGAATGACCAAGCAAAGGCTTTAAATATGCCTTCAAAACAAATGAGGTGGCATCCTTTGATATTGAAATGGTGCCTACGAATGTACTGTAAATCCCACAGCATGTACACTGAGCTGCGAGAATCTGGTTTTTTGAAACTTCCCAGTGGAAGAACTCTTTCCGATTACAAGAACTTCTGTTCTTCAAAGTCTGGTTGGCAAACATCTGTCTTAGATGCCATGAGAAATAACTTTGTAGACAAGAAAATTCCAGAAGCAGGAAAATTTGGTGGTCTTTTTTTTGATGAAGTCAAAATTAAAGAAGGTTTACTCTTTGACCCATCCTCTTGGGAATTAATCGGTTTCACTGATTTAGAGATTGATGACAAATCGTCCACAGTACAAGAGAGCCTTGCGACACATGTGCTGCAATTTTTCTATAAGAGTTTGTTTGCTGGTTTTCAATTTCCCTGTTCCTATTTTCTAACAAGAGGAATATCAGCTCAAAACTTAAACAGATTATTTTGGAAAGGAGTTGGTTTGTTACATGGTTATGATTTTAAAGTCATTCTGACATGTTGTGATGGCGCTTCTGAGAACAGAACATTCATGGCAATGAACGGTTGCAATGAAACAACAAGCCAAACAAAGAACCCATTTTCCAAACTCCCTTTGTTCTTCATGTCTGACCCTCCCCATTTAATTAAGAAGCTTCGTAACAACATATACAACAGTGGCTATAAAGAACATTCTCCAAGATATACCAGATGCTTATTGCTGGATTCTAAGAACATTTTGTGGGATCACATCTATTCTGTTTATTTAAGAGACAAGCGGAGACATTTATTCTCGACAGATCTAAGAAGTTCCCACGTTCATCTTGACAGTTTAAGTAAGATGCGGGTAAAGCTTGCTGTCCAAGCCCTAAATTCGAAGGTGCGGAAAGACATGGAAACATGGGAATCAGATGAGACAATATCAACCCAGAAATTCATTTTTAACTGTGAAAAATTATGGGGTGTTTTTAATGATGACAAACCACTTTCATCAATAACTGATTCTAGGATTACAGATTTAGAAAATGTTCTCCAATTTTTCAACAATTGGAAAGATGAACTTGCTTCCAAATTTACGACTAAATCTGAGATATCATCACATTTTATCACTTGGCAAACAATGTTTGATTTACAGGTGATTCTTGAATTAGTTATTTATTGTATGAAATTGAACTAATATTACTGTCGTTCCAATTGAAGTGTTCCTCAAATATTGATTCAATACATTACCTCAAGCTGACCAATTTGTTTCATCAAGTTCCTCGAGATATTCATACACTTCCTGTGAAAGAGCCAATTCCAAGTATTTGATCATTTCTGGTCACTTCCTTTCTATTTATGATTGGTTAGTTGCACAAACAGCAAAGGTGATTGGTGTTTTCAAACTATTCAACAGGAAGTTTACAATTATACTAGGAAGTGTATGAATATTTCGAGGAACTTGATGAAATGAATTGGTCAGCCCGAGGTAATGTATTGAATCGATATTTGAGGAACACTTCAATTGGAACGACAGTAACAATTAGATTATGAGCTCAACTATCATCTCTATGAACTATCAAAATATTACAAAACAACATTTCAAAAAGTTTTCAAAAAAATCTTGCCAAAGATATGGCTGTTATCTATTGAGTAATAGATTACAGCAAGTATTATGTACATAAGTCCATTCAGAATACAGTATTTGCATTAGTATTATTTCACTAAATAGTTTTATTTAACTTTGCAGGTTTCAATTAACGGCATTAAAGAGCTGGTAAAATTTATTGAAAGTCCTGAAATCCAATCCCTCCAAGGAAGTCATTATGTGATTCCAAAGCGACTAAGTCAAGATCTAGTCGAATCTTTTTTCTCAGTGCAAAGGCAGTCATGTGGCGGTTCAAATAACATGACTGCAATTGCGTATGGATATAATGTAAACAGTGCTATCTCATATTCGGCAACCAAACTTTTAAGGAAGAAGCAAACAAATGTAATGGAAAATGATGAAATAGAACTTAGTATCGAGCAAGAGAGTAACACCAGTCTTCCAAGGAGAGGTAATATGGAGAGCATCTTTACCAAAAATATGTGGCCTGTTTATCTTTAACATTTCTTGATCCGTACCATTATTTTGCCAACTATATAAAATAGAAAATATTGATTTAGGTCAAATAGACCTTACTATTCACTTTTAACCCAATAGCCTCGTTTTTTGTTGTATTTACACTCTCTTGTGTTTCATGCACAATATGGTAGAGGAATAAGCTTTTAGGCGAACAACCTTAGTTAATCTTTGTCCGCCATGCTAAAACATATAGAAACGAGAGTATTTGGTCAAAAGTGAAGGTCTATGCCAGTTTCGATCTGTTGACCTTCCTTATAGAAATAAACTTTCAGTAAGTAAGATACTTAATTAAGCCGTGTTTACACTACAAGCTTACTGTCGTTCCAATTGAAGTGTTGCTCAAATATTGATTCAATACATTACCTCGGGCTGACCAATTCATTTGATCAAGTTCCTCGAGATATTCATACACTTCCTGTGAAAGAGCCAATTCCAAGTATTTGATCATTTCTGGTCACTTCCTTTCTATTTATGATTGGTTAGTTGCACAAACAACAAAGGTGATTGGTGCATTCAAACTATTCAACAGGAAGTTTACAATTATACTAGGAAGTGTATGAATATCTCGAGGAACTTGATGAAATTAATTGCTCAGCCCGAGGTAATGTATTGAATCAATATTTGAGCAACACTTCAATTGGAACGACAGTAAGCCTGGCCTAGGTTTTTTGTAGTGTGAATGCACTTCAGCCTGGCCTAGGCCAGGAAATCTCGGTCCATCAGTTTGTTTACACTACAAAAATCTAGTTCAAAGGTAGGCCCAGGCCAGGATTAGGCTCGTAGTGTAAACACAGCTTTACACTACCTAAAAGATAAACAAGAACTTCTTGTTTATCTTTCAGAGTCTATCTCATTTACCAGGAGTACCTACACTGGCACCCCACTTCCTTGAGGTCCATTTACATGATACGACTAGTCATATACTATTGTCGTTCTGTCTTGATTGTCGTTCAAGCAATTGCTGACACAAACTATTTCTGTTCAATAGTTTATATCAAAATTTGTAATGTGGCATCTTTGCATACATCAGGCACAGATTTTCTGGGGGGGGGGGGTGCACCCCCCAGAAATTATTTGCACCCTCCCCCCCAAAGGCATATATTTTGATTTGATACTGTAGTTTCATATTTGATTATTCTTACTACTGAATTTGTAAAATTACCAATATTATGGTCTCAGATCTTGCCATGCAGGCATAGAAAACAAATTTTGTTAAACTTTTTCCTTAACTTATCCACCACCCCCCACCCCCAAACGAAAATATGAAAATCTGTGTCTCTGGCATACATACAGTATGCCAGTATAAGAATCCTATATGCCGGGATAGAATCAGATTAGTTGTATCATGTAGATGGGCCTGTATCAAGGTGTGTGCAATTAATATAACAGAGTCAGAGATTTCACTAAGCCAAAAAATTATTCCACCCACGGTGGCAGGGTGGGAGTAATAACCCATTGAGTGGCGATGCACCTTACTTTAGCATTTTACTCTGTCTAACGCCAGACAATTTTACTCGTCAAGGGGAGAGCGCTGGCGCTTAATGGGTTAAGATGAAAAGGGAGGGAAATATTTGTGTAGTGCGCATAATTATTGGATGATTTTATATCCAGACTCTATATTCGATGTACTACGTACATTAGGTTTTCATAAAGAACAGTAGATTATCATGGGGATTTATTTGAGAGGGTGTGCTTTTTATACACATGGTTGTTAACTGTCACAAACATATAGACTTTCTTTTTGCTGAAAGGCCTATGACAATGTTAAATTAGTTAAATTATTGAGAGGGGGGAGTTGGGGAGGGGGGTTCAAACAGGGGGGTCATAATTATATAGTGTAGATAAATTTTTTGCAATTATGCATAATATATATATATAATAAATAAAATTTCTTTTTTCATTGCCAATGTTGTGTGGTTTTATTTTACTATGACTTACCTCATCAGGAAACTTAACACATACCATCCCCCCCCTTCACTGCCTCAAGGAGGGTCTGTATCTGTTTTTCTTTCTTTTTCCCCAAAAATGCAGGCTGACCCAAAGACTTCAAAATTTTACCCAGTTCCTTCCCTTGAAGGTTTCCCAATATATGTTCTTGTTCAGAGGGGGGCAAAGTTTTCAGATGGAGTAAAAACACGTCTAAAGAAGAACTGTCAAAATTGGTTCTCAAGGTTTGTATATGATGGTCCGTTGTCGTCTGAGTGGAAGATATTGTAGAACATTTTTTATTTGGTCGTCTGATTTGCTGTCGCAGAGTTACACTATTTTTGTTGGGTTTAAGGCCTTCTTTTTCCCGAATTATTTGTTGTTTGGATTTCATGAAAAAAGTAACGATTCTTTGCAACACAACAACTGATGTTCGTATATCCGAATTTGGTGTCAGTTCATCCCATCTACCTCGCAATTCCTTATTAGTTGACATTCGGTCAAGACAAAACTTTAAAATGTTTTCTTTTTCCCTAAGTATATTTTCCGGACTTAATAAACTTTCGGCTAATTTGTGCAGAAATATAAAAAAAGGAATAACATGCTCGTAAATCCTAAATCTGTAGCTGTCATCTGGCTGTTTTTTGTCTTCTCCTAATAGCGATAACACTGCCAATGCGTCTGTCTTGCTGCCAAAAATCACTGGGGAATCTTCATCAACAGTCGCTTTCGCCGGCAGTTCATTTTGTCCCTTGAAGATAACATCCCTTGCCCTCTTTATTGCCCACCCAGCATGGTCCCGAATAGTGTCATTGTCCTGGTTTGCATCAATATAGCTTGTAGTTG